GTCGCAGGGCCACAGATGTGCACCTGTCACAGTGTCACAGTGGGACCCGGGGTCCAGGGGACGCCCTGGCATCGAGGACGTTCCCGCGTCCCAGGGCCACAGATGTGCTTCTCCTCCCCCGCAGATCGCGTTCTATGTGCTGGTGAAGGCCGTCTACACCCTGGGCTACAGCGTCTCCCTGGTGTCTCTGGCCACGGGAAGCTTGATCCTCTGCCTCTTCAGGTAAGCAGTGGACATCGGCAGTTCTGCCCAGAAGGGAGGCTGCCAACCTCTCCAGGTGGGGTGGCACCTCTGAGGGCGGGAGGGGTAGGCAGCCTGGCGCCCTCTGCCTGCCAGCCATGAGGTGCCTGTGGAGGGGCTCACTGGTGTGATCTAGCACTCGGGTGTGACCCAGATATCTGGTTTCTGACCTGGGTGGGCAGTTCAGCGACCAGGCACTGAACCCTTAGGCGTGACGCCCTGTTGAACCCCAGGCTCCGGTGGCCTCGCCCTCGCCTTTGGGCTGCCGAGAGATGCTGTGTRACCCTGGGCAGGTTACTCAAGCCCTCTGAGCAACTGCACCATGAGGCCCATGGAGGACCCCGATGGCCATGAGGGTCATGTTGGTAGGTCGGAAGGCCTGCAGCAGGACCCTCGGGGACACGCCTAGAATGAGCTGGCTGGTGCCCTCACACTGCACCCTCTGCAGGCCTCTGCTGGCTGGTGGACACTTGCAGCCAGCGCTGGGCTTGAATTCCAGTTTTCACCCCACCACCCTGAGGCACCCGCAGCCCCCAGGCCCTTGGCCTTCTCCGCGCTCTCCTCAGGGTGAACAGCTTGGAAATGTGGAGGGGAAAGGAGGCCTCCGTGGGCCGTGCCTGGAATTCTGCCGGCTTCCTCAACTCGTCCTGCCTCCACACACCCTGGACCAGGGAGACAGAGGGGCTGGCTCCAGGGCCACCCACTCCTGTGCCCGGGAAGTGCTGGCCTCAGGGCGGCCGTCAGCGGCCATGAGGGGAGGTCCTGGCCACGTGCACCTCTGCGTGTCATGGGTCCTGTTTGATGACCCAGGAAGAGCGTTGGTGAGGCGGCTTGTTCTAATGTCCCTGACAAAAGTGGCTGTGTCCTGGGAATGTGGACTCCATTCCTGTGGGGTCAGTGCACACCTCAAAATACCTGTAGAACTCTGGCTGTCAGGAGGACTGCCACCAAGATGTAAAAGGACAACCTGGAAACTTTTTTAAGTCATGGGAAGGAAAAAGACATCAGGCTCATGATGGGCACCTGCCCTTCCAGGTCCCTGAGGTGAACTGGTGTGATAAGTGGGTGAGTGCGGGTGTTACAGGCACTCTGTGCCCTCACGGTCAAAGGGAGCACCCACTTAGGTCTTCCCCAGGCAGAACCCCAGAGAGACCAAGGAAGCAGTCATCAAAGGTCGAGCTCCATGCAGCGCTCAAACCAACTTGGTGGGTCTTGCAGACCCCAGAGGTGGGCATAATAGCAGCACCCACCAGGCAGGCCAGCGTGGACACGGGAGCCCACACACCACCTGAGCAGGTGCAGGAAAGGATGTGGGTGTGGGTGAAAAACACTAACAGGCCAGGAGCTTCTGACACCCGAGCTGGGGGACCGCAGGGGACAGGGCAGTGGAGGCTGTGAGTGCAAGAGGAGGATCATCATGCCCTGGACAGGTGGACCTGGCACGCCTTGCAGGGGAGCAGAGAAAGCTGTCAGAGCCTCAGGGAGTCCTGAGGGGCTACACAGAGCGGGCAGCGGCTGCTGGGGCAGAGGAGCTGTGGCCTCCAGTGGCCAGGCAGGCGGGCAGCATCCGATGGAAGACCACGAAGCTGCCCGTGTAATTTTAATGTCCTAGTAGCTCCATTTATAAATAAAAAGAAGTCAGTGAAATTAATTTTAATAAAACCTTTTATTTAAGTCATTAGATACAAAATACTGTGGTTTCAACCTGTCACCAAGGAAGAGCACTCCAGGAGAGTGGGACACACCCGTGCCCGCGGGTCTTGGTCCAGTTTGCTTGTGCAGCAGAGCTCAGTGTGGCCGCTGCCTGCTCCTGGGAACCCCCAGTCTGCATGTAGGCCCTGTAAACACACAGCCAAACGTCATCTGAACACTAAAGCCTTTTAGCAAGGGAATCTGGTACAAAACGTCATTTTCCTTCAGTATTCCGCTTGACATTGACAAAATCAGCTCATCTTTTTTGGAACCAATTTTTTTTTRGAGCAAAAATATACTGTTTAAAAGCTTTCTGTCCAAATTAAGTGAACTTGCTGACTCTTGCTGTTAACTTGATCTTATTAATGTTGAGTTTAATGGAGCGATGAGTGAATTGGTATTGAGCTCTAAATTTATTGTATGAAAAGAGTGTTCCTCACATTTCTATGGTATTTTCCAGGTGTATGAGCTGCTGCTTTAATTAAAGCTCTCTCCTAGTGACTGATGCAGAATGGCATATCAGGCATCAGCTGTGAAGGCCTCATGTCCACACAGTGCCCAGCTYGTCACAAAGGGCTCCTGATTCAGCCAGCACACTGTGTCCGGCTTTGGTCTGCAGGCCTGGAGAGCCTCCTGTGGCCCCAGGAAGGGAATCTGGCCACAGCCCAGGAGTCTGGAAGGACAGTGCCCACAGGCACTGGCCAAGGACAGGCGCTCGAGGCCTCTCCTGGTGCTGGGCTGGGCACGAACCCCCTGACTCATAGCTTTTGTGGGTGCCCTGAAAGAGCTCGACAGGAGCACACCTTCCATTGTGTCCTCCAGAGTCCACTCTTTGACGACTAAGAGGAAACTTATCAAATTCAATATGCATTTACTGAAAACACCTCACCTTACCCACCTACCACCCCAGAACCTCAGTGTGAAGAGCTCTCTCTCCTCACCACGGTGTGTCCCATCTCCAACCCGCAGGGAGCTGCAGGGTCCTCTCCAGCCTCCACACACTTCCCTGCTCTGGGTGATACCAGTGTCCCTGTGACTCTGAATCAGTAGCCACCATCATTTCAAATCATAAAACACTTATTTTTTAAACTACAAAAATAATAATGATTAACAAATATTTCCATTTAATACCCAAACGTGATTTACACAAATATTACTAAAACTCATGCTGTCACCAAAAAAAATTCATATATTAAAATCTTCCATTCATGCATAGAAAAAAAAAACATGCCAACCAAGTCAGTCAACAACAGCTGCAGAGCTCCCTGCACACACACCCTGCAGAGCTCCCCCCACACACACACCCTGCAGAGCTCC